TCACTTTTATATTTACATACGCTCTATCTCTCATATTGAGCACTTTATCCCATAAATATAGCACACCTTAAGAGTATATGGCTTTATGCATATATATATATATATATATATATATATATATATATATATATATATATATAGATAGATAGATAGATAGATAGATAATATTTAGTGGTAAATATACATACATATGTAAAATATATAAATACCCATACATGTATATTTTTTTGAATAAAAAATTCCAAGAGGATAGAATCCAGGTAGAACTCAATGTCCAGGACAGAGTAAGGATATAATAAAAAGGCTTAAACACTAATATTCCATGGTCATAATTTATTCCATTGGAATCGTAAATAATCCAATTCATCAGACCTACAAATTCAAATATATATATATATATATATATATATATATATATATATATATATATATATATATATATATATGCAAGAGGTAATACGTAAAGACCATCTCTATGTTTCAAATCTTTATTTTCTTGTTGATGTTTCACTCATTTTACGAAACATGGCTGAGATCTCAAAATAAATATATTTATAATAGCAGCCTTTCTACTTAAAGCACAATGGTCAGCTTGAAAATGGAAACCGCTATAGGGTATTCGGGCTAAATTTGATAATTTTTTTAAACGGAAAATTAAGTTAATATGTAATTCAAAAATCAATTTATTGGAAAATAATAAAGTTGCATAAAAGTGATAATAATCAAAATACAATTAGCTCAAAGTAGCCATCCTAAGCATCTATCAAAACGTCGATCATATTCCGGGAACTTTACGGTGTCTTTAGGAAGAGCCTCAAATATTTCCTTAAATTTGCCGGTCAGCTTGTCCTTCGTGTTACAGGCAATGCGTCTGGTGTATTTCTCAACCGCGCCATCACATATAATGATCCATGGGATTAAAATCAGGGGAGTTAGGAGGCCAGACTTTTGGGCTGGTGAAGTCGTAAATATTATCTGACAGCCTCTAATGAAATTTTTCTGAAGTTGCGCCAGGGAGCTGATTGTCGCTGCCACATACATGATCTTTCAGCAGCCACCCTCTCCAAACATGGCTTGACCACGATGTTCAATAACTCCACATAAAATTCAGAATGGAGCCTGAGACACTGTTAAATGATGTGATGTGTCAGAACAACATTCTCACTGGGGTCACACCCAATAACCAATTAGTACATATTCCAACACAACCGTAGTAAAGGCAAAGCCAAAAACATTTTTTTTTGTATAATTCACATAACAATAAAACACTTAAAAACATTTTTTTTTTTTTAAAAAGTGAATATCTAATCCAACAGGTTGTAATAATCAAAGACAATTCCATCAAAAAAGCCACCATTGTCATCTACCAAAGCCTCGATCAGACTCCGGAATCTGGCATATGCAAACTTCACGGTGTCTTTAGGAAGAGCCTCAAGCGTCTCCTTAATCCTGTTGATCATCGTGTCCTTTTCGGTACAAGCAGTGCGATTCATGTTTTTCTCAGCTGCGCTCCACACATAATAATGCATGAGATTATAATCAAGGGAGTTAGTGGTACATACGTTGTAGCTGGTGAAGTCATAAAAATTAATTAACAACAACTTCTGACTGTTCCTAGAGGTGTGGGGATAAGTGAATCTTGCTGCTTTATACTCATGGTCTTCCAACAGCGACCCTCTCTAAACAAGATTTGACCACGGTATTTAGCAACCCAAATTGAGCCTGAGATCCTATTCAAAGATGGGTGGTGGCATGATATCACCCTCACTGGAGACACACCCAAAAAGCAATTAGTACATATTTCATCTCAGCCGTAGTAAAGACAAAACAAAAAAAATTCATAAGTAGCTTTTTAACAATAAAACAGTTAAAATAAATACGAGTTTGTCATATGGATGTACAGGTTTTTGTGCTAAATTTCAGGGTTTTTTTAAAGGAAAACAAAGTGAATATCTAAGCCAAGAAGTTGTAATAATGAAAAGACAATTCGCTCAATGAAGCTGCACTCGGTGTCTACCACAGACTTGATTATACTCCAGAGTCTAACTCATACAACCTTCACAGTGTAGGTAGAGCCTCAAACGCCTCCTTAATCTGGTCGATCACCTGGGTCAAAGCCCGCATTCCCTTGCCTAGGTTTTCCATCACTTTTTCTTGCAGATATTGGATGACTTCCGGTGTACGAAGGCAATCAGAACGTCTTCCGTGTTCTTTCCTAAGCAGCCATGGCGTCGTAGTATTCGTTGCAGCTCTCTCTATTGTTTTCCAGGTGTTCAAAGTGCATTGAACAGCAGCCATGATTGTTGTATTCTGATGGCTGGAATAAATCATCATGATACAGGTTAAACTTTTCCAATAGTCAGCTAACTTCCACTCGTCCTTGTCAGTTAACATTGACATCTCTAAAACTGTAGTGACAAGGTTTCACAATGCCGTCCACTGTTTACAGATATTCCAAACCAATCTGAAAAAAAAAACACATTAAATTGTCAAAATTAGGCCGAAAAACCACTAAAAACATTAAAACTCATCTAGATTTGCGCATGGGAAATATGTTAAAATCAAATATCTATTGCCAATCATACATTATCTGTTATAACCATTTCTAATGTCTTTCTACGGAGAAACGTTTCTCAAACTTTACATCCTAGAGGAGCTCCTGACATTGATTTTCTATTCAATGTCATTGCTGCAGGGGATGTTCTATGCGCTGTTCTTCATCGTATTTTCTTCGTGTAGATATATAACTTTATTCCCGTTCACATTTGGAATATATCAAGGTATCTAAATCACCATATTATTTATTTAATGTCTTCGATACAGAATTAAAAGAAATCATTTCCCCTAAAGCTAGGCAATACACCGACATCTAGGGAGCTAGTCTACATAGCGGTTAGGATGCTCGTGAGAGGACACCTGAATTAAAAGAATTCGACTGGAGCATCAAGCGTTGTATGTACTCCATTCGGAGTAAAATTATCAAAGAACAGGTTTTATATTTTATTTTAATTTAGCATGTTAAAATTAATTGTATCCACAAAATCTAATTTTTATGGAAACGTGTTAATAATATTAACGGTCGCAGTTGGCTCGGTTCATAGGATTTACACTTGAATCAAATGTTGATAGAGGTACATTTATAGTTGAATTATAACGTATACACAATGCAGTTTACACATCTGAAGAGATAGGATCGGTTTACACTTAAATGTTGATAGAGTTTCCTTTTTCATTCGAATTAAAAGATATTCACGGTCCATTTAACACTACAGAAGACATAGTTCCGGTTTAGACTTAAGTGTTGATAAAGGATAATTTTTCAACTGATTTAAAAGATACATACGATGCAGTTTACACATCAGAAGACATAGGTCCGGTTTACACTTAAAGGTTGATGGACTCTCATTTTTCATTTGAATTAAAAGATATACGCAATGAACATATCAGAAGACATAGGTCCGGTTTACACTTAATGATTGATAGAGGTTCATTTTTAGTTGAATTAAAAGTTATACACGGTCCAGTTTACAGTTCAGAATATATATTTCTGGTTTACACTTAAAGGTTAGAGGCGCATTTTTCAATTGAATTTAAAGATACATACGGTCCAGTTTAGACATCAGAAGACATAGGTTCAGTTTACACTTCAAGGTATATAGAGATTCATTTTTCATTTGAATTAAGTGATATACACGTTCCATTTCATGCCTGAGTTAATAAGAAGTCATTCATCCTGTTTATTCTTGTACCAAAAGAGAGACAGGTAACTATCTTAATCTTAAGTCTGCAGTATATACTTGAAAGGTACCCCATTTTTATGGATGTGATCTTACCCATCTACAGGGAATGAAGACGACGTATTTTATATGTAACTGATAGGACATTTTTTTTTATCATTTCACCCCAAGAAAGAAAATACAGCCGCTAAAACGGAATGGGTTATGGAGTGTGAAAGAATATGGGGAATATTATTAAAGAGAGAACAATAAAAGAACAGGAAGTAAGAAGACGGAAGATAACGATATACACTGCATTTATATTTTTGAAGATCAAAGGTCACTGTAAAGCAAGAAGGCGAAAGAGAGTTTCAGAAGCGAGAAGTGCGAGAGAAGAAACTGCTAGCATAGAACTTACGGTTACATCTAGCCATTTCACCTGGAAAATGACGAGACCTAACTGCCAAACTGGTACTGTAATTATATTTGTAAAGTCGCTTTATCAAAGATGAAAGCTGATTAGAAAGATTGTCATGAAAATATAAAAATAAACACACGGAAGCTATTTTTTCTGAGGTAAAAAAATGACTGAATCCGAGATGCCAGTTCAGGATAGATAACATTTCAGGTTCTTCTTTAAATTTTATTAGTAATCTCTAAATATATAGCAGAATCACCGGGACCAGATTTTCACGCAATATTCAATACATATTACCTCTGAGAAATTAATTTTTGTTTTGTTTTGTTTTTCATTTTATTTAAAAAAAAAAGAAGATAACTTGGTCACAGTTGATGTTATATATCTTGCTATTCTTTCTAATAATTAAAGATTTCTCGCTGCAACTAATCTTCCGGTTAAAGGTATTGCTTTTCCCAAATTAAAGATTAAATGAAAGTCTAAATATAAACGATGTCCCCAAAATGTCGGCTTAACCTAACAGATTGATCAAAGTCTTTTCAGGCAGCTGCAGCAAAACCCAACTGAGCAACTTAGAAAATATGAAATGGCGGAATTCAGAAACAGGATAGAAATGGTCATAACTACGCTAAAAAAAGAACAGTCTCGATTATGCTCTTCGAATTCTTAAGAAACTATTGACGTCTATTTTTAGTTTATGGCATTCCAAAGCAGACATATTTAGAAATATGAGATGTTCCTTTGCATATTACAAGAAATCAAAATGGCCCCTGCTTTATTAGTGAAATGAAAAGATTTTCCTTATTTTCCTATGAATGATTTGTCGACAATATTCACTTATTATATTCAATCACATTTAAAGTTTTTCAAACATATATATATAGAGATAGATAGATAGATAGATAGATAGATAGATAGATAGATATCGCCACTCTTATTCAAGGATACTCGTCTAGTAGGGCGACAGGCAAATCCCTATTGCAGACGCTTGATCAGGCACATTTGGGTTTGTTCAACAACCACGTGGCCCACCTGTGATTTATACTGCAGCTATATTGAACGAACCTTAGTTACAGTTTCTGGGAGAGAAGAGTGTTATCTAGTGTGACCAAGAGTCTGGACCTGGCCAGTACACGCAGACTCTCGGTCACGAGGACGTGTGACTTGGTGTTAGCACAGCTATCGACGGTCCTCGAAGTGTTCCGTCTACCTAATATCACTCACAAAACTTGGGTCAACACGTGGTTTGGTTTCCAAAGGTGCTGCACGCTGGGATCGCCCCCTCCCTTCAGACCGATAACATCAAGAATGTTTCCTTCCTGACAAATCAACCTAACAGATCTTCAGGTTACGTCTAGATTTTTCTCTATTCAATTTATAGATCACTTTTATGTTTTAACTTAAATTACTCTGTTGGTGTTTTTTTTTTTTGACTTTTTTTTTCCGGTACTGAATGATTATTTTCGACCGACACGGATATTTAGTCTTTTTTACTGATTTTTTTTCCCTGACATGTTCAAATATATTTTTATTTACAAACTGTATTATCAGAAATTTTCATATATATATATATATATATATATATATATATATATATATATATATATATATATATATAAGAATGAAGAGGTTATAGTAGTTCCAACGAGCGAAAAGTGTGTATATTAAAAAGAAGAGAGAAACCGCAAACGTTTTTGGTTGTAATGCGGATTTAAAAAAATATTATGCTTTATTTTCCATAATTTTGCTACACGGGTTTCCGATCTCGCGATCGTCATCAGGCAAAGGGTGGAGATTTCCACATATTATTAAAAATAATTATTTTTTTCTTTATGTTTTTCGATGTTAAATATTCTCGATATAAGACATCCTATTTTTGTGTGTTAGTGATCCAAATGTCTTTCTTGAACTGATACGGCAAGACGAGCTTTACCAATGATGATTAAAAAGAAAAAAAAAATTGACCACTCGACCGGTTTCGCTCTCACTCAAGAGCTGAAATCGAAGAAAAGACTAAATATTACAATATGATATATAAAACATGAGAAAAATGTGATGAAATAAAGGTGGGAAGATCAGATGGAAATAATGTTAAGCCCTAACAGACATTCCGTCTGTTTACAGAGAGAGGGCTGCCCGGACCTGACATAAATTGTTTCCAATAGAAGACCGAATAAGGCTACTAAATGCCCTGTGTATTTGCGTTAACCCTGGTTGGGTTCAATACGTGGTAAATTTGCGAAACAAATCAGCTCAACAGTTAAAAATTGTTATTTTTCCGCCAATGTGCGTGTTGTTTCTCTACCACGTCTCCTTTGGTGTCTGCTCGAAATGACGTTCTGCCTCCCCACCATACTAATAACGTGATATACTGATTTGGATGTAGTTGCGGAGCCGATTATATAGGTAGAACTAACTTACGCTTAGACGCACGGAAAAATCAGCACTTACCCGGAAAAATTAGCAATGATACGTTCCAATCTGGTTACAAGATCAGGAGCACATACGGTTCCGCCATTGCTGAGCACCTTATAAACAATCCAAGTTGTGCCACAAATTTCAGCATTGACTCATTTTCCATTCTTAGTCATGCTGATTCTGTTACATTTAAAGGTATTGGAAACGATCTATATCAGGTCCGGACAGCCATCCCTCTGTAAACAGACGGAATATCTGTTCGGGCTTGACATTATTTCCATCTGATCTTTCCACCTTTATTTCACATGCTTCTTATGTTGTTTTTTTTTTAATTTTATTTTATATTGTAATATTAAGTCTTCCCTCGATTTCATCTCTTGAGCGAGGGCGAAACAGTTCGGGTGGTCATTTTTTTTTTAATCATGAATGGTAAAGCTCGCCTTACCATTTTTATTTCCAGTTTTGTACCCCTAAGAAGATAATGCAATATATATATATATATATGCTGTATCAAAATACTTTCACAAAATTTTGGGGCAGGTTCCACACAAAAACAAGGACAAAATTTCATATAAACATAAATCTGCGAATCCTTCGCTTTTGAGTTATTAAGTTTAAAATTTTTTTACAGCAAATGGCACTGTGTTGATCTGTAGACTAGGTTGCATTTGTCATTCGTGTATATTTGTGGTTAGTCTCTCTTCAACTTTAACGTGTGTAGTAGTAACTGAGGCGTGCTCCGTTTAAAAATTTCAGGATATTCATATCGTTACCATACAGATATATTTTTACATATGACCACCCGAATGGTAGTGGATGCGAGGCTGCACAGATGTATCTGATTACGTTTCCAGATCAAAGACAGCTAAGTCATCCAACTTTTGCTCTTGTTTATCGTCGCGTTGCTGAGACAGAATCCGTGGCCCAACAAACTATGGATCTAGAGAGACCAATATCCGCTCGTACGCCTGACAAAGAAGAACACGTTAAAGCATTAGCACACATCAAATGGCCCTAGAATGTTGTACATCTCATAACACCTCATGGAAGGTACTTCAAAAGCAGTACCTGGATCCGTATCATTTGCAACCTGTGCAGGGTCTTTCGCCCTCTGATCAATCATCATGGGAAAACTTTTACCAATCCGTTGTTTGTCTTGTCCCTGGAAAGGTAACATTTGCAAGTCATGAAATAAATAATTGGCACAACTAAAATATCTGGGCGTATCGGAATCCCCATAGTACAACACAGGCTAGACAACAGCATCAGTTTACGCTTAAGGTTTGGAAGGGAATTGTAGGTAATTGTCTGGCTTCCATCTTTAAGAATTATCAATATAACGGTAATTTTAAAAAAAAGAGGCAACAGTAGAGAGGAAAACTGTATCAAGAGGTTAAAACAGCAACAGGGACCATCATTTCAACTTAGGTCTACATGCATTCTTATTGTTCAAAGTAGAGTTCAATAATGTTACAAAAACCTCGGAGAATTCCAGTAAGATATTTTTATTCATTTCTAAGATACAACGGTTCAAAGCTAAGTCTAACAATTGGACAATTTTATTGTTACACCATTTTGACAATTTTGAGGTGGTGCAGATGGTGCTTGAATGGTACGAGAATGTAACGGGGACCAACATTAACCTCAGTAAGTCTTCCGGCTTGACGTGCGTTTGCCACAGTGTATTGCAATAAAGTGTCTGCTATAATTTCAGTTTGTCCAATTTGTCCATATTACGAAAGTTTCATTCAAACAGATTTTAATTTTGTTTTTCATCTCAAACTCATTATTTAGTGTGCGAGTTTGGCATCACAAACCATCGCTTTAGTCATGTGAGATCATTCTTCAAATCTACGAATCTACCATTCGTCCGTGCACTGAATACTGTTGCCATATATGGTATGGTGCCCCCGCCGCTCATCTCGAGGTTCTCGACAAAGACGGATATGCAATATGATAGGTCCTGACCTGGCATCTCGACTACAGTCACTTTCTCACAGATATGATGTGGCTTCCTTCTATCTTTTCTACAAATAGTTTCAGGGAAACTGCTTTGACGAGCGACATTCACTGGTGCTCCATCTGCATAAATTTAACCGTACTACTAGGTTGGCATTTCGGTCCCATCCGTTTACTATCGAAACAGTTAAATGTAACCGCCTCTTCTACTCCAACATCTTCTTCTATCGCACTTCCCGACAGTGGAACTCCCTTCCTCTTACTTGCTTCCCTGATAACTATAATCTTCAAACATTAAATTTAATGCCAATCGACATGTCTAATGCCTTGATCTTGATCGCCGTCTTTCTCTTCATCCTTTCCTCAAACACCCCTCTTTACTCTTACTTTCACACCTTGCGTGCTAGTGGTACTCCCCCCTTACTTAGGGTGAAAGGCTTAACAAAAAGACACTCAGTTGTTTATGACATAAATATTGTTATATTTTATTTTTAGATGAAAGATTTGAAATACTCTTATTATTATAGGTTTGCATTATTTTATTAAGTTTTACTTCGTTAGAATTTAAAAAAAAAGTATTTTTCTTGCAAGTTTTATACTATCTTATTATTGTAGGTTTGAATTATTTTATTAACAGTTTTACTTCGCTAGAATTTTAAAAAAGGGGGAACACTGAATTTAAACGTGATATCTGTCATCCAGTATGGCAATAAATACTAGACAATGAAAAGGAGACTGGAATCAACAGAGATTTCGTTATACAGAAAGACTGTCAAATCAACATGGACAGAGCACGTCAACATCGAGGAAGAGACAATTCAACGTCCTGTGACGGTTAAAGAGAAAAGAAGGATTGGATAATTTGACACTCACAAGACATGCAAGAGGTGCAGGTGGGGACTGCGAGTAACTTACAGAACGATGGAAAGTAAGGAAGCACATATTTCGGAAAAGCTTAGCAACAAATAGGAAATCGACCGCATTCTACAGAAACGTCACATAAAAAAGAACATGTTCAATTCTACAGATTTCATAAATATTAAAAGTGAAAGCAATTTAACTAAACTGTATAAATTTTACAAACATTTCACAAGCAGATAAAAATATAATCTATGTAATGTAGAGAACTGATTTTACATCAGTAGCAGGAGTTTACCAAATAAAAAAAGTACATGTTTTTTTAGGCCATTAGAATTTGCAGTCACGAATTTTCAACATTAAAATAGGTCAGATTACTGAGTGAAAATGGTAATTCCTTCCTCCATGTCTACTTATACAAGTGACTTATCACCACATGTCAATTTCCAACCCCATACGGTCATCCAAAAACGACTTAATTTGATATTAAATGCCCAGAATATTAAGACACTTAAGAATACAAGAATGTGGCATCATTTCGCAGGCTTTTTTTTTTGTAGTTATCCACGTCATGTTTCGGGTTTTCATTCGTATATCCATCCACCTTACACAATATAATATTATAGATGAAATCGCGAGCAATGGCCGTGACCCACGTTTTGAGCGTATTGGCCTTGTTCAAAACCCGTTGGTCACGT